GCTCAGTCTCCTTGTTAAATGTTCTAGTGTAAATTTTTGCAGCACCGTTACGGCACGGCTGATGTTTGTGTTGACCAATAGAGAGAGAGAGAGGCCCCACTTGGACCAATCATTCTGCGCCAAATCACATCATGCCTATGATTGGTCAGACTGAGATCTAAATGTTGAGTAGTGACGCTATTAACGAATCTCTTCCGGTTATCAGGAATATTGATTCGGATTTTAAGTTGGCCACGGTGTCAGCCAGCACCGCTAAGTTAAAGCACATTACTCTGTTTAACTGTTTCACGTCAAAATGTGATTTATGGACGAAAATAGGCAGCCCAATCAATGTGTGGAGAGAGCCAATAACATAATCCGCGGTTATTAAGAATGAGTGGAATGTGGTGTAATTTAGGAAACAGGAAATATTTGTTTATGTCGTGTGCACCTTTCAGTTAGGGAAGTGCGTCTCCTATTGGATCCTGAGGAGTTTGATTACCTCCTACCAAACGAGGCGGTGGTCGGCTTCTTCCTGACCGTGGACGACTCTAGGGACCAGGCGATCTCCCCGATCATGGAAATGAAGCACTACGAGAGATCGATCGACATCCTCCAGCCCCAAGTCGACATCGATGATCTTTTTGTTGGGTCCCAATTTCAAACCTTCATTCAAATTGGCTTCGCTGATTCGGTAGGTTGAGGTGTCCTTGTCTTTTTTGAAGTCTAGCTATTGTCTGGGGGAAGACGCGATTCAGTGTATCAAAAAGGCGTTCCACGCTCCATTCGACGGTCATCAACTAGACCTGGTCCAAAAATCGATAAACCCATAAATGCACTCTTCAATACGTACTGAAGGAAAGAAGCATTTATCGATTGGGTGATTTGAATTCATAATGTCGATGGGCAACTCTGTGAATCGATTTCGGTGGAGACCTAGTGGCGGTGGAATATTTAAAATTGGAGTGTCTGACAACTAGAAATCACGCAAACACGGCATTGGGGTACCATGTTCTGTTAGTGAATTTCGGACCGAATTTCATCAGGTGATACTGCGGTGGGTTGTGTTAACTGAAAGCCATTGTCCCACACTGTTCTGTTGCATTCACCTTCAAATCGAGGCATCTGTTCATTTGTACTTTAACTAGTTTAATATTAAAAACGTTTGGTCAAATAATCATTACAACGTGTTGGAATCCTTACAGCCATTCCAACAGGCATTAAGAACCTTGAAATCCTCAGGTGGGCAAGGCAGTGAAGGTAAGAATTGTACAATTACCTTGATATATCAGCTTTCTTTTTAATTCACCTATAAACCAGTGTTTTCTTCTGATACAGTGAGTCCTCGAAGTACTCTTCGACCAATCTTTCGATCGGTTGTGCAGGTGGCCAAACCGGCGTTCAGTTCGCGCATGCTTCAGCTCAAGGACGACACCAACATCGTCCAACGCTCTTCTAGGATTGTGAAGGGTCGGCTGGTTCAACAGTGGGCCTACCTCCGTCTGGAGAACGCGTCAGCCGCTGTTGTCATTGAAAATCTAGCCCTACGTCTAGGTAATCTTAAACGCGACTTCGACAATATGCTGCAAATCCTCGCTGAATTGCAGGCCTCGCATCACATGACTTCCGAGGTAAAGGTAAGTTCTGCGGTCAGCTTGTAATATATGTTATGTAGCTATCTCTCCGCCGCCTTTTAAAATACCATTTCGAAAAAAAAATAATTCGCTAATAGCCGGAAAAACAGCATTATATCTCATTTTAAAATGTGCTGTAACTGTCCAATAAAAAGCATCCCATTGAAGTAGAACTTCAAGCTCAACAACTGTCCTGTCGAACAGGTTTCATGTGGTCGATCAAAAGAGAGCTGCAACCGTTTACCCCCTACCATAACTAACCTGGCCTGTCAGTTAATTAGTCATAGAATACGGACTCCCGTTTGGCTATTTGTCAGTTGTGTTATCAACGGTGTGGAAATAAGGACTAGTCGCAGGGCTTGGCAAATCGAGTTGTTAGTAATCAAATTATACCTGACTCTGAGTTCCGTCGATACGACACTGAATCAGTGAAAATAATTAGATTTAGGCCTATAAAAATGCGACGTTTTTACCAAAAATATGCACATTTTGTCAGATATTCAGTATCCGCTCATGCGAACAGAATGCAACCGAACTCATAACAGGTCATGTGCACAACCACGTTGTTTAAATTTAAACAAACTGGTGAAGTGCTCAACATTTTAATTTGTGGCAGAATTTCACGGGTCTGAAAAAAATTCCTAAGATCTTACCCTATTAGTTCACCTTAGTAAACTGGCAAAGGTTAATTTAGTGCTCTCACAAATATCGATTATAATTAGGTAAATTCAAAAAATTAGAAATCATTCTTTCTATCTGTTTCAATACGCAAATATCCACCTGCCAAAATTAAACAATTTGGCTCATAAATCAGTGGACTTTGTGAACAAAAATTTTTTAATACTTTGAATAGTTAATTCCTGGTCACCCGAAGAGAATCGTTAATAGCGTCACTACTCAACATTTAGATCTCAGTCTGACCAATCATAGGCTTGTTGTGATTTGGCGCAGAATGATTGGTCCAAGTGAGGCCTCTCTCTCTCTATATTGGTCAACACAAACATCAGCCGTGCCGTAACGGTGCTGCAAAAATTTACACTAGAACATTTAACAAGGAGACTGAGCATGTCGATAAATGAATACATGTGGGGGTGAGCCATGTAAATACATGAATATATGTCAAATCACCTTGTGGGATGACCAAAAGTAAAGCTCTTATCGACCAAACTAGAATTTGCCGGATACTTCGTGAGGCTGTCAATCTATGACTCTGTCCAAGTTCCGTTTGATGCTAGACGCTGACACATATAAACAAACTCGATTTCACTAGGAGTTGAGAAGCGACAAATTAGCTCAATTATTTGGAAATTTCATTCAATTATCATTAGTGAGGTGGGACTTTTAGGTAAAGCACGTGTTTGTTCTTAGGTGCGCACTAAGAGTACACAAAATCAGACCGGAGATTAGACGATGCTCACACTGTTTGTCTTGCCACTGGTTTTGGCACCAGCACGAGAAGGGAGGTGGTTGTTGATTGGAAAAGGAATTGCGTGCACTGACATCCGCCGTGGACTCGCGTTTCTCGCTTGAGCCATTCAGCGATGTTGCGCGGACTTGTTGAACCCGCTTGATGACAGGTTATGTGGGGGAAATTGACTCTGAAGCGTCCTTCTTCGCAGTTGTTTTATTTAATTTTACGAAATTAGTGAGCTGGTTAGCTTCTAATCGCAGTTTTTTTTCCAAAAATACACTGGTCTGCATTGAGTGCTAATGGTAGTGAGCATAGTTGAAATCGCTCAGATATTGGTGGTGATGGGGGTATACCAGATATCGATTTTCTCCAACACGAATCGATCCAAGAAAGACAAATTTAGTCGCCAACTGACTCATGAAGGTGATATCTGGTTTCGCTTTTTAGTCGTCGAAGTTTGACTACGTGGAGACCTGCTCCTCTCCAACTGGCACAGCGCTGAATGTGATCGTCAACTTCACAAATGGCTTCCACGAAGATCTTTGCGACCTCATCGAGAACAACGAGCATTCCTTTCTGATCCACAAAATCGACTGCCAGGTGAAGCAAACAAATCGCGCTGGTAGTCCGTCTGTGCCATCAACCCCGTCGCATTCGTCTGATGCCACAGAGACGGGATCTATTTTGCAGCTTTACGTGGTGCAAATGCTCTTCTTTCACTTGCACAGCATGAATCAGCAGATTATCCTGCTGCTTCGACGACAAGTAAGCCTGCTGTCAATGGTGAACCAGGAGATCCAGCAACAGCAACAGCAGCAGACAAGTGGACGTGTTGACGAAATGGAGACCCTGGAATGCATGCGTTGTGAGCGATTGCTGAACGTGGGCGCAGGTGGAAGTGCCAACTCCATGAGTTGCCATCGAGTGGAGCGTAGTCTGACGGTGAATATGACTCGACACTGGACGCTTTTCAAGAAATTCAATCAGGCCATTGCAGCGTGCACACAGCGTCTAGACGCGTTAATGAACAACTTGGAGGTGACACGCGTTGCCAACGCAAAACACATCCAGGTTTTCAACAAAATCACCGGAGGTGACATTTCTGACGCTGAGTCGGCAACGCATGGGTAAAAAATGATTATATTATTCCTTAGGTCAAGTTATAAAAGACTTTTTGGGGCGTCAGATAACGTGTCATCGTATATAACACTAAACAGAGACACACGCTCGTCTCACATTGGGGTTCTGTGCATCCATTGGCTAAATGTATAGCAGCGCCAAGCAAACCTTCGAATTAAAACAACGCATGGATCAAATATAACGCGATAAACGGCACACGGCGTAAGTCAGCAGTTGACGCATTGACAGACGAATATAGAGCATAGAATAACCTTGACTTGTAATTACCGCGCTGTTTAACTGAGGCGCGAGACATCGCATTGGAGGTGGGACAAACGCGTTCATTGGATCATTGAATTTTATTCACAAAAAGGAGGCAAAACTAGGGAGATTGGTTGGTACGTGCAAATTTTGCCAAACACAAACTAATGGCAGTCGCGTTTTTTGATAGAGTTCGTTTAATGAAGCGGAAATCACGAACGGTAATGCTTCCGACAACACCGAGGTGGTAGTTAAAAGGACATTTGTGGGACAAAAGGAGTTTGGAGTAATTCCTACCGGCAAATTACGCACCATTTAACCAAAGTAATGTGGTGGCAAACAGGGGAAAGCTTCAAATTCTCTTTCATTTGATTGGCTGATAGAATCGATTATGAGGAGTTTCAGCTAGCCCTGTTACTCGTCGAAGTGCCTTTAAATCGGCATCGAAACTGAATGCAGAATATTCATTTCCCTTTTTCAGTCCAAATTGCAATATTTCTATGTTAATTAGCAAAATGTAGCTTGTTTTTGACCTGAGGACGTTCGTTAACAGTTTTAGAGATCGGAATTTGAGGTTGGAATTTAAAATAACGCAAATAGACATTAAGTTGGCATGATTTTATCGACTTCTTTGGCAGAAAGTTGATCCTAGTTCTGGCAAACTTCCCATCATTGCGTGAAAGAATAACCCACTTAGTGTCATGCATCTCGCAAACACACTACCCATAAATATAATCGGATTCTTGTCTAGGGGTTCAGATAAACCCTCTGATAATTTAATTTATCATTTGGAAAATCAAAAAGGCCTAAACCGAGTTCAGGGAAACTTTTAGACAGTTCACATGTAAATGTAGGTAAACTTGGCTTCCGTTGCAATCACTCCCGCACGCAATTCAGCGCGTCACCGCCACGCGCGTGAAATCGATTTTTATTGATTATTTCCACCTGTTGCATGCAATAAACTGAGTGCGCTGAATGCAGCTCCAATTACTGAGTTGTGTCGTAAGGATGTACAAAAATTCATTGAAATCTGAAGTTTTCGCTTCAGAGGAACTTTGTGTATCATTGTTTAAGCAAGAAGGGATATTATTGTGGCATTAGTGGCCTATTACTAACACATTCGCTCCAACCGACATTCTGACTCAAGATTCGAACCTTGTTTGGCATTAAGGTAATGATACGTTAGCAGATTCGCTTTACAAATGCGCCACCAGTGAGTCATGCACTGGCCTCCTAGTTTCTGTATTCTAGAAAACCCGTTTCCAACGTTACAGAAATCGACCCCACTCATATATCGTCCTTTCCTTCTCCAGAAGTTTTTTACTACTCACTTAAAAGCGCTGTTTGTCGGCCAGATAGCAGCAAACTGGCCGTATCCTCAAACACGCATGCGCATGTTTGAAAGTGGACGTTTGCATGAGTTGAACGTAAAAACGGTGACGCTTAATCAAACAAGCCCAAACCTCAACTGCTATTGGATCCGACGATTCCCCTGAATACACTAATTATTTTGGTTAATTTATTTAGCCTGGTATCCCTACGAATTAAGCTCAACACGGAAGAGAGACCAAGTCTAGCAGAATTTGTTTCACTTAACGAATTTGCATCTCCTACGTGTAAGTTGTCGACTGTTCTTTAATCGATTGTAAAGTGACCAATCATAATTCACCTTAGGGCTGCTCACGTGACGCATTCAATTACAGCATTGATTGCAACTTTATCAATGAAAATATTCGGATTGCTCACGTTTTAAATTTATCTGCGTCCATTCCACTTCAAGATTCATGTTAGAAGTGACTTTTTCGTTCATGGAAATTAAGCAAGATCAGATTGACTCTATGACCTTAGTATATCTCTGGACCAATCAAAAGAGAGCAGGATAAGCGTTGGCCAACTGTGATTGGCTAGTGCGAAAGCAGTTCACCGAATTGATTGGGCAGCGTGCAAAGCCCATAAAATTTGTTCCCAAAATGAAGGGCATGGAAGCTGGGATTCACGCTAATTAATGTCTACCATTTTGAACGTATCCTGATGGTCGACATTACCAGACTGTAGTAATCAATAACCCTGAATCAAGTCGTGGTTTGCTCAACCAAATCAAAGCCGTTTGGCCCCTAAAACAAGAAGTAACGAGGAAGCTATATAGTCTACTTGAAACGCACCAGTAGCATTTCATTTAACTGTTTTAGCGGAATTTTTGGGAATTCTCACATGCGGTCTGGCTGGGTTAATAGCTCTAATTACTCTCTGGAGAGTAGTGGAGGTGAAGAGGATTCTCTCTCAACGCCCGTTCCCGTAAGTTACCCCCACATGCCATCACTGTCGATAGAGAAACGGGCTGCGTTCATTAACATGCAGAACCAACTTGCTAAAAAGCCTTCATTCTAAGATTACGAACAATTTGATCTTTTCTACTTCTAGATCATCGATCTCAGAGGACAACGCGACCAGCGAAGTGGAGACCACAGTGAATTACTTTAAGACACCATCAGTTACCACGTAGGCTTGCTGTACAGTCCCTGCGCGCACACTTTACTGTCCGACGTTTTTTATACATACACAAGAAAATATGTCTATACCGATTCAAATTGGCAGTGGTAAATTTTGACGACTGCCTGTCATAATTAAGATGTTAATGCACATCCAAACATCAGATAATCCACTTCAGGCAAGGGCACAAGATTGGACCAATGAGGATCGGGATTTCGGGTGACTCAGTTCGTGTTCTAATACCTGGTCACTGACCCAATTGATCAGAACTGACCTGACGTCAATTAGGCATGTGAGATGCTTACATGGGGATTGATATCACTTTTTGGCAGAGTATTCAGTCGCGAGTAATTTGCAATTTAGTTAATAACTACTATATCCGTTTCTAAATGGAAAAATTGGTTTGGTTTCTGCGCAAACTTCTTGGTGAAACAATTCAAAAAAAGCTAGAAAAACAAGCATCTTTCGCGTGAGGAGACAACCGACCATCGTGCGGCATCTTAATACGTACTCGGGGAAAAGTCTTAGCTTCTGCAAATACGTGCAATTTTGTGCGTTCACACGAAATCCAGTTTTTCGGGTAAAAATGACGAGAACTCACAAAGGATTTTACGATTTACAGTGGGCTGCCATAGAGCAATAAATACTTGACAGTTAGACACACCCAACCACGTTTGAGGAAGACAATTTGACAACCAGACCTGACCTTGAAGTTGAATATACGTGTGTTTTATTGGACGGATGTCGGAGGCAGTCTTGAGTAGTCGGAACACGCACGCGCGAATACTAGCACCGCCAAATCACGAGATCAAGAACGCCCAAGTCAGTAAAATCATGTCAACTTTTAAAAACATACATGCACACACGCACACAAACTAGTATGAAAGGTCCTCAAACCACGTGGTTGAGGAACCACCACGAAAGCCTCGTTGTCTACACTTCAACATGCAGTTTCCAACCGTCGGTGGCCCGAACCTCGGGCTTCCGAATGACTAGAAGCCCTGAACGACTCCCGTTCTCGCCCTTACCGCCAGCTGGTGAGAAAAAGAACTCCACGGGACGCATCGAGTCGGCGACGTTCGCGGTGGTCACGTACGCACGCCTGGGGCTCGCACCCGAGACGCCCAGAAAGACAATGCGTTCAATGAACGGGGCTGCGTCATCGCGCGCGGTGTGGTCGTGTTGGTGGTGGCCCGGGAGGGGAAGACGGGTGAACTCAAGCACGCCCTCACGCCAGTCGATTCGGTGGAAGTGGGCGCCGGCGCGATCCATGGAGTGGAAGTCGTCGCGGTAGAGGAAGCCTGTGGCGCTGCTGCTGCTGCCGCCATCGGTCGGCGCGTCGAGCGACACGACGATGGTGTAGGGGTCGTTGAGCATCATGCTGGAGGAACGACGTGGACGCGCTTTCTTGGGGATGATGTGGCCACCGCGATAGAACAACGGTATGGTTCCCAGATCAACCGGAAAGTTGACAACCTGTTCGCCTGAGAAAACCTGCGAAATTCCGGCAAAATCAACACCAATAAGCCAACAACGCGCATGACACTTTTGAGCAGGGCAGAAGTGAAGTACTGACTTTCCAATCGCCGTGGAGGAACCACGTGCCCTTTGGCAGGTAGACGTCCACACTAGTGGCACCCTCGTGTACCACCGGGTGCACCAAGAGAGCCTCGCCGACCATGAATTGATTGTCGATGGCAAAGGTGTTGGCGTCGTTGGGGAATTCAAAGAACAACGGGGCCATCGGAGGTCGGTTGTCGTGTTCGCTGCGAGCGAAGAGGGTATACCAGTAGGGTAGGAGGGAATACCGAAGTCGCAGGGCGTCGCTAAAGTTGTTTACGAATTGTTAGAGCTTCTAGCACAATGCCCAAGTCCGCAGATTCAATGTATGAGGTGTTAAAATTAATATTTACGTATCCTATTTCTTAGAGCTTGAATTTGTACGCAACGTCTCAATATTTTTGCAGTCTTTTGGGGTTTTAAAACGACAGGAAGCAAGATTTCCGAAAACTGAACAACAAGTGTGCGTACCTGAGTTACGTAACCTCTTAGAGTAACATAGTTTACGATGATGGCAACTGATAAACAGCACATTTAATGGCACTGCATTTTGTGCGAGTTGCAACAACGCAAAACTACTTTTAGATAACGGGGAGAGTCAATTTGTAGTGTTCTTGGTGCACCCGACGTTGTATCGAATGAAACGTGCAATCATTGGTACTAGCATTTTAGAAGTGGTGATTTCAATCTTAGTGACCAGTTTAAATGTGCGGAATCGCAAGTTATACTGCATGAAGACTCAACGCAAACGCAACAAGGGCATGCTGTAGCTCAGTTAGGAGTCACCTAAACACCTATTTCCAAGCGTTTGAATCACCAAATGGGCAAAATTCAAAAACTCCCGACTGCCATTTGTTACGGCCAATGCGGCGGCACGCCTTATTGGCTAAACGGTTCCTCTAACGCTGGACGATGTGCGTGAATTCGTGGATGACTTGATTGCCTCGAAGCCTGCAAGTTTTTTTTCGCGACGACATCAGCACGTTACATGAGAGATGGCGCAAGGTCATGGAAAACGATGGACAACATTTCCACGATTGAGTTCGTTGTCCTGTGTTTTTTCAAATATTAAATAAATTTGCTAAAAAATCCGTAATTCATGCATCTAATATCGCACGAAAAGAGAGCCCCCTCCCCTCTCCCTGGATGACACCGAAGTGGTGTACGAGTAAAACCCACACTTAACGATGTTTTATCGGGGGGAACGCACCGGACGGCAACGTGGTACTGCTGATCGAAGGTCCAGGGCTCGCGCTTCGGGGTGTCGATGTGGGCGTGGGAGCGCAAGAACGGATGGAAGGCGGCGGCCTGGTACCACCGGGTGTACAACTCGCCCGAGGGGTGACCGAAGAACCCGCCAACATCGGAGCCGCAGAACGTCAGACCGGTCATAGACAGGCTCAGCAACATCGGCGTGGTTATCTGCAGGTGAGAGAGCAAACCGCAGTGATAAGGGCACCTGCACAACGCCACAACCACGTTAGTAAAAAAAAATGGAAAAAGCGGTTTTCTAATTGCTCAATACGCCAGAAGGCACTGCTTGAGAATCCCGCCAGTGAATCTTCAACGCGATCACTAGTGCCGTTTGGGATTCCGCCATCCAATACGAAAAGACATTTTGTGAAATTTCAGTGATTTGACGAAAAAAGTGGAGAAAGAAAACGCACCTCTAAATGACCCCAAGACGCCTTGTTGTCACCGGTCCACACAGCACCAAAACGTTGGGAACCCGCAAAGAAGGCGCGGGAGAGAACAAATGGGCGCTCTCGGTAATTGGAACGCCTCAAAAGTCCCTCGGTAGTGGCATTGTGCACCCACAGGCCGTACAGATTGTGAATGTCCCGATTTTCCCAGACTCCACCGAAAATTGTATCCTTTAAAAGTAAGGAGGGTGTGGGTGCATCATATCGAAAAAGGGACAGACAGAAGTACAGGGTGGCCTACCTTAGGGATGGTAACTTCTGGTCCACTGAAGACGGAAGGCTCGTTCATGTCGTTCCACGAGTAAAACATCTTGTCTTTGTTTAAGAAAACGTCATCGGTGAGGAGGTCTGCCCACCAGTTGACAACTTCAGGACGGTAGAAGTCAGGCCAGTAGCTAGATCCCGGCCAGCACCAACCATCAAAATCACTTTGTCCGTCCTCCTTCTTCACGAGGTAGCCCTCTGATTTACTTTTACTAGAAAAAAACATTGTGTCACGGAGATGGGAATCGTGAATTACAAGCTCGTGAGCAGTTTAAAAGCATCACTTACGAACACGTTGACCAAGAATGGTCTGCTTTAATGTGAGGATCAACAATGACAACCAGTTTGCGCCCGCTGGCGGCCAAATCGTCGACCATTTCATTGGGAGTGGGGAATTTCCCTGGGGACCATGTGAGATAACGCTTGTCGTCCGCGTACTCTATGTCTAGCCACACGACATCCATTGGGAGGTTATGCTTATTATAACCGTCGTTGACCGCTTTCACTTCGGCTTGATCTTTGTAATTCCAGCGACATTGATGGTGCGCGAGAGCGAATAGCGGAGGCAGTGGGGTTGTGCCAGTTAACGACGCATACGCCTTCAGTCCATCGTGAGGATTCTCGGCAAGTATGACAAACATATCCAGAACCCCCGTCTCAAAAATCCAACGTGTCTTAACAGTGGGATTGGAATTCGAAGATTTTGAGAAGAGATTCGGAAGTTTGGACAATATGCCACCGGACTCTACTTGCCTACTTGATTCCACGTCTATCCAGGCTTCTGATGGATTATTAATAAACAACCCGACAGTGCTGTTCACTTTGTGTGCCCACATTAGGGGAACAGACCCATACAAAGCCATTGGGTTATTTAATTCATACTCAAACACATCAAGGTTGTAAAGGCGGTACGGGTCTGTTTGATTGGTGTTTCGTAGAGCAAAGCTATCGGCGTGCTCAGGTATGCCGTACACATGTTCGAATCCGTGAAAAGTGCAATCAATTCCAACCGAAGCAGGGCCGTGGGGCCGAGAGTCACGCTGTCCTTTGAAAGACTCTGACCAGTCCACAGGGACTGGCTCTGTAGCCTGCTGTTCAGGCGTATCTTGGTTCTCAGTGTTTTCGGACTCCCCCTCAGATAAAGATTGATTTTGTGGCTGAGAAATTGGTTCAACAAACTGCTTTTCCAGATGATGTTCAAAGTAAAAAAGGTCCCGGTCATTTAGGGTCAGTTCAAGATTACCGCGTCGAAGAAACATGGCTTTGAACGGATTAAACGTGATGACGACCTCTTCTTGATGATAGCCGGTAACGGACATCCCTGCTTTTGTTATAGAAGTTTTCATCGAGAGGGTGTCTGGCTCTGTGAACAGCGAATCGCCTATTCTAGGCCGAAAACGGGGCCGGATAGGAGCTGCGTCATCCAAAACAAGGCGAAACGTTGATAATTTGTGGTACGTAAGGGTAGCGTTAAGGCGCTTTTGCGACAGGGAGCTAAAAATCTGAAGATGCACAAAATCACCAGTAATGTGCACGGTTTCCGCGTCAACATAGTATTCTGGTTCCGCTGGCCAGTGACTTCTCTGACGCGTGCAAAATGAACTGTCCGCACATGTCTTAAAATTACTTCTATCTACACAGACAACCTCAGTAATAAAGAAAAGAAGGAGCAACAGCCACATCGCAGTTGACAAGGCTGTCGAGATAAATTGCGCCGTGTGTCCAACTCTCATTGGTTGTAAGGGCCGTGTTAAAATGTTTCAAATATTCTTTGTTAGTCCAAAAATTTGCTTATTTGAGTCAATAAATGAATCTTATCTAAACAGCATTAATTGTGGGATTGAATTATGGTTGCAGCAATTATTCAACTGTCGCTTTGTCTGCTCTACTCAAGCTTTATCGTTTAGACATCGTCCTGTTAATTTATAAAAAATTATCTTAACAAGGAATAAATTCGATTTGCTCGGATTGTTATTAAAGATGCTTGAACAGAAGAAATTATGTATGCTGAAGAATATGACTAATTATTATAAAAGCAGAAGTCAATTTAGGTTAAGACCACTGGTAGTAAAATTCACGACCAGAGTGCACGTACATCATGTAAAAGTCAATCACCTCAGGCACAGAACCCGACAAAAAAACAGTAGTTTAATGACCCTTGTTTTGCTAAATTAAATTTAGTTACTGGTTTCAGGGGAAACTTAGATATGGTGGGACTGTACGAGGTCCGTACGAGGTCTTGACTACGTCGTCTGCTTCGAAAATGAGGCTAGCAGGAAAGATCGATGGTAAATGGACGTAACAAGCTATTAGACGATTGACGCTGGTGCTGACAAATCACCAGAATTCTAAGTGCACATTTGGGGTTCTGAATAGTTCGCCATGATTTGTCAGCTTAATTAGCAGTGTTTTGAATTTTGTCTATATTCCAAAAAACAAGGTAACGTTTGACTCCTGGAACCAACCTTGCAAAGGTTAGTCCCAAATCGACTTTGTATCACTGAATGACGCGTGGTAGTTCAGAAATTTGGCCTTGCGGATCTGTTGAGCTATCGCAGCACTATTTCCCCCAAAACCTTAGAACAGGGTTTTTGGGGGAAAAGTATTCAACTTTAAAAGCGTATGGCTAAAAAACACCTTTTTTATGCTTAGTATCCGGTAAAAGCATCCTAAACTATGAATAAAACAAAGTATGTCAACTCAAATCTCTAATAGCCACTGAGTCACAATCCATCCAGGCACCAGAAAGTGACTATTTAGTCTGCTTGAGTTGAACCGTTTGTGACACTCAAATAAATACCCACCTAATGTCTCTTCTAGAGCAGCATGCAGTAAAAATACAATCCTGTGCAATCAGGGGGCCACAGTTGTCATGTAATAAATGCAGATCAGAGAGCCATAAAACGCTCTCAAATCCGGCCCGCTCATCCATCGTCAGCTTCATTAGACCGGGTGAATAACCAGCACACATCTCTCGAGGATAAAAAAGGACATTCCTTGTATGGCGTATTTGATATACAGTGTCAGGCAGTTTGTTGGATTCTGTATGCATAGGCAAAATGATTATCAGCAATGCAAGTCTGAGGGCCAAATAAATTGGAACAATAAGTCATATCTGCTCAAAAAAGCTTGGCAGTGCCTTCACAAACAAAAAATGCAGAACTTTAGCCAGTCAACTCAGCAGTCACACCTACTAACAAACTGGTCACCCTAAGGAAAACACACTTCTGAAAAGAAAGTATATAGAAGTTGAAGAGATTTCCGCTGAAGCATCTCTTCGTACACACTGCTTACAACCCTGATACCTGGTGAGTGGAAGTCGAGAACTATGGAAATACTGCAGGCGTAGTTTTCGCTAATATCTCGCGAACTTGGCTTCTAGCTGTTTTAAACGACAAACGCTGCTGCTCTCGATCGCTCACTCTTCATTTAGAAACACACCACAGGTGATGCTACAGGTTGGAGTCATGCATTAGACATGACCGGGATGGGAGATTGGTGGGTCTTGGTAGAGTTGTTATCCCTGACAATTTAAAACAGCATTGAAACAAGCGAGTGGGTTTCTTCGTGTGGCTACTTGCGGCGTCCGACAGGCGAGAGAGTCTAAAACCATGGTCAGAGCAGGTTAAATGAACCGAAAACACTGAAGCAAGATAGGAAGGTGTCTGTCCATGCACGGGGACGGTTTGATGAAATCACTAAACGTCAAAATCGAGAAGGAGTGAAATGCCTGTCCGTCACGTTCGTTCAATTCACTCACCAACAACTGACAGGTCAACTTGAAGAGATTTCCGCTGAAGCATCTCTTTGTACACACTGCCTACCACCATGATCACTGGTGAGCGGAAATCGAAGATTACGGAAATACCACAAACAATTAAGTCAGTAAGATAAGTCACCTTGACCATTGACATGGCATAAACAATTCTAACAGCCTTCACGACTGTATGACCTACACTAACTGTCCTGGTTTAGTGACCCGGTGGTCGAAATCTGGGACTCAGTCACTTTTGTCCAATAACTGGGTGACTCAAAACTCAGAACGACGATGTTCAGGATCCTAGTTTGTTCCTGATGTGGAAATCAAGATTAGGAAGCCAACATTAACTGATTCGCCTACTTACAACTTTGTTAAAATTCAGTTAGTTAAATGGAGCCTTGAACAAAAGTTCTCCTGTGTTATTCACACAAAAACTAAGACATTCCCATGAACTTCTTGATGTATTAGATGAGAATGCCCAACACCTAGAAAGAAATTTTGCGCCATAATGTACCTGTGTAACCACAATCATCGCAAGTTCTAATTTCAACACTGCGACAACGAATGCAGCAAGTAACGACAGTAGGTTGCCAGGCTAGCTTTTTGTTCATACGACACACACTTACACGCACACATCTAGTAATATGAAACACATTTTTGGCTACCTAAATTTATGGGATGCACTGTTTAGGTCTTTTTAATTTTCAGCCAACTCCAATTGGCTGGTGACTTCGGTGGACGAAGAAAGACTACGTCCGGTGAAAGTGCATTGGAATTTGGCTGATGTTTTCGTTATCAATCGCTTAGTGTTAGAGAAATATGCTAAACTCGGTGGTTAATGTACGAGTCTTTTGACCGAAACAGGGTTTTGTGAGTCTCGGAGTAGCGTGGATGCTGTTTGAAGACTGGTGGCCGAACGAAGAGGCTTTGGAGTTAAAGGGTGAAGTATAACCTGAGGGAATGCTGCAGCCGATCAGTTTCACACAATACCACTACAAGGCAGTTAGGAGCAGTCAACACAAGCACTCAACAAAAACACAGTTCGTGCTACCAAACGGTCCTGTTTATCAAAAAAAAACCGCGTCGACAGACACTGAGTTCCAAAAGAGGTGCGCCTCCACTGCCTGCTTACACACACAGTTGACTCCACTAAGACAGTTAATTCGTATGTTATGTCTTTCAAGTTAGGGAGTTTGATTGTTGGGTAAGCGCAAGTGATCGAGGCAGGCATTCACACACGATTATCAGCCAACTCTGCACCAACATCGACTTTCCCTCAGTGCTGGGACAAGGCAAACACGGGGAGCCAATCAGACTCAACCTGACTAAGCCGTTCACCTTAGCTTCACACCCATGAATCAGAGGAATAATTGCTATCTAATTCTCGTGCTATCCCCTCACCCATCCACAAGAGTCATCTTTGAGAATGATTAGTGATAACAACATACCTGAGGTGTGTGGAATAAGGTAAAATGACACGAGGCACAAGACTTCAACGACCCATTTTTTCATAAGTTAAGGCACTCAAGACACAGGAGAGTAGCTAAAAGTGGCTGTACTAGTAACTAAACATCACCCTGTGGAATACTCTCGATGACTAAAGGTGACGACTGTAAGAAAGACGGATTGCTTCAACTGAAACTGCAATCGGCAAAATCTCGATGCAATTTTTTTCCCAAAAAGTGTTTGTATTTACGGCGGAAACACCTCACGTAAATGGCACCAAGCTACATCTTGTCCACACAACTTTTGTAGCAATACCACCTCAACGGGTCGGACAATGTGTACGCGCCACGCACTCAAACGCGCACTCGTACACATCCAGTAATGGGAAACACACTTTTTGGTTACCTAAAATTATCAATGACAGCCTAATTCATCTGCGGCTAGACGCGGCTTCGGATGTCATTCGGCTTAAGCTTTTTCTTGGCTCTGAGCTACTAAATCTAAAGACAAGCATATTGCGGAGCTTTAACCATCGATACCAATTGAAGTCTCATCAGAACACAGACAAAGCGGCGATTAACAAAATTGCGCATTTAGATTCAGTTGTTGTTGGGGATCCACGATTCCCCAAGATTGGTTTCGGATTCTATTTACATTAATTTATTAACATTTGTTTTGTTACGCTTTCATCAAGTCAATATCAACCTTGACTTGAATTAGTTTCGTTTTCACTTTCAATTTCACTGACTTCTCTGCACGTGGCTGACGTGAATTAAGCTCTCGACTCGAGCTCTGGTCCTGTTCTTGTATAAGCCTGGGAAGGTCGGTTCTAGCTTCAACAAGGGATCTGGTATCGTTATTTGAGTGGTCTTCTTTTTTGTTACGGACAAACGTAACAGTTATTATGGCCAATATAATCGATGCCTTCTGGGAAGCTGAAAGCTTGAAAACAAACCTACACTATGTTCTGTCTTAGTCGTGTACCAGAAAGGTGGGGCTGGTATTAGACCGCGTATTTGGAACAGATTGGATTGTTATCATTGCAGCATTGTTGCAAGCATAACGGGTAAACAGTGGACATTTAAAATGCCGTTTCATGTCCCTCTTTTAGTTTTATCGTTTATAAACAGTGAGAAAAACCGGCATTTCTGGATAACGTCAAATTTTATTGACGATAAACTGAATAGCAAATAGATTTTATACCCGTATTAACACGATTTGCATGCTTCTGTTGAAAAAGAGAGAGTTTGTAAAATGCTTTCACTAACACCACTTGGTAATGGTCAACCGGGTTTCGTCCATAGCCACAATCACCCCCAGACGACTCCAACTCTGCGGAACACCCCTGTTCTGCGAAAGGCGCCAAATTGCCCGTCTTCATCCACTCAGCTAGCGCCGTCGAATCTCCGGACGCCGTTAACTTCAGTACAATGACATTCGACTCTAATCAGTTCCCGCCGACTACAAATCGCCCTACGACAATCTTCACGCTTTAGTTAACTTAATTCTCTCTCCTTTCACAATCTGGCCTAATCACTCAAGTCTCTTTTTTTAACATGGCTGTATATCTCGACTTTTACTGATAAACACCTGGTAAGAAAAGTTGTATTCATAAAAGCAATTTATCTCAAGCATCTTCGGAAAACAGATTATAATTTCAACCCTTTCAGTTACCTTCAGGCCACCACAATTCGCCCCGTTCCAACATTCACTAAAGCCACTTTTCAAAAATTTGACAATATAAGAAAAAAAGTTTGCTGAACTCTTTGGCTAGGGGAGCGAACATAGTCAGTACGACCTACTACGATAGTTACATCACAATTACGCTAAACCTAAGGCCTGCTCCTCTGAAATCCTGTTGGAAGTAAAGGTTCGCAAATCCTCTCGCCAAGGTAAAGAGACGCTGCACATTGCGTTGATTCACATTTTCCAGTTGCTCAGTTGTCCGACATTATGTTCCCTTTTTCGCAGTGGAACATCAGCTCACACGTAATTGGTGCAAACAATTGTCCTGAAATATCACTACGCTTGATAACATTCACCTAGGTTTTGATGTTTGCAGATTTGTGGCTGACACTGTTTTACACATCTTAGCTATAAGTGCACACACGCAAACGCCACACATACCACAATGATGCCAATTTGGTTGAGCTATGAAGTAATCAGTTGTGTCAACGTCCAGGAGGGTCTTCGTCATCGTGGGCAGCAGGGTAGCTTAATCAGGCCAGATCCTACCCAGTGACGATGGCATGGTTTGAGAAAACATGCTGAGGCCAACAGCATATCTTAGATATTGAGTTGTGCTGACGTTCTATATACATTGTATCCTAAAGGTAGCCCAAATTAGACAAACGTCTAGCAGAACACCATGTTCCAGTAATAAAACTTTTGAATTATGTTATGAACCCCTAAAGTTGAAATAGAAATCGGAGATATTAAAAAGCGATTAAATTATTTGCTTGCTAAACACTGAATTCTTGTTTGGAATTCGAAAATCTAATTTTGGTCCACATTCTTTAAACTTATAAGCAACAATGCAAATAGAGGTTAAGAAAATTATCTGGCAATCACATTTATTTCATTTGCAAGCCAAAACACACGGAGAGTTTGCATTATTTGCCCTCCACTTTGATGGGTGTTCTGGCGGACAATATTTGACGGGAAACCAAACAGAGAAAATGAAAAAGTTCTATTAAAATTAGTCAAGTGCCCGAACAAAAGTTGTTACTTGTGTAACTAGGGAAAAGTTGCAAAAGTTTTCATCCATATAATAGTTACTTAAAAAGTTTCTTGTGATGCCTCTTTGAATAAATGTCAAATATAGATATTTAGTTTCCCATTAACAATCGAATCTAGAAGCACATTTTTTCATCGTTGTTTTTATGCAGTAAACATTCAAACTAAGCCACTTTAACGCCTAACCTGCACATTTGTGAATGTAATTAGTTGAAGTACTAAAAAATTATTCAACAATGCCACATTTTTTAAATGTTTTTGGATTTGAGGTTTAAAGCGTTCTCGGTGCTGGCGGGTTTCACGAAATTTGCGCCCGTCTGTGGTGTGAATTTGTCTAGGTTTGGTGCCAAAAGTAATGTCTATAACATATTCGATTGAATTTTTGTCTTATATTTAATTCCGGTATCAGATTGATATCGAAATATCTTACTACTTGTAAGTCACACTAGGATACTCCGGGATGTTTTAAGGATAACGTTAAGCGTGTTCATAAAATCAAATTTGGTTTTACCCGTACACGGTAATATCAATGAAAATGATTGTTTCTTTTGTCTTTCAAGTCAAATGTAGGTTCTCCTTTGGGTAATAAGGAAAACATTCTCCTTCTTTAACTGCTTACCTTACAACTGATGCTATTGTCTTACGTTGTGTTGGCTGAATTGATTTTTGCCTCTTCTTTCGTTTTCTCCGTGTTTAAACCTAGTCTGCATTTTTAACTTCGCTCTGAAACTGGAATGAGCTTTGATGAACCACAATTTAGCCCTCCGTTTTTACTACGTGCTTTAAATCTCTTAAATTGAACTTCAACGCCAAATTCTTTGAATCTAAAATGTAATTCGTTTCGGGATGGGATATGTTCTCGCCACCTCTTGCTACAGTATCGCACTTTTTTTAAGGCTAGATGGCACGATCTAACAGACTCGGCATTCTCAGGAGATCGCATAATCATTTGACCAAATCTGCAACGCTCTGTCAATTCATCCAAAAACCTACTGGTTCATCTACCTCGCCTCCACCGCACGTTGAAAGCGTGCTTACAGGCACCAAGCTTGTTCGAACTGGTTTGAAGTCTTCCGAGAATGCCGTAAGTTTTCCAAAGCACTTCTCATTTTACATGGTCAAAATGACATCCGAAATCCAACAACACATTTCATGTGCCTTCACTAAACAGCCTTTCAAATATATGCAGGCTGTATCTCGCATTGTGTCTGGTTTCTTTTAGGATTCGTCAGCAACTTCAAAGGCACTAAACGGCACTTCAGTCCGTGCAAAGAGGCTGAAGGCAAAACGCCGCCTAAATGGTACTAGATCTAGCCTTCCTGCTACTAAAAAAAATTCGGCTTCCACGGACGCCTTGTCCCACGTAGCCAAGCCAGACGCAAGTCGATTTCCCTCTTCCGATGCAATTGAAACCCCTTTTTTGTCGCCCATTTCTTCGTCTGAAAGCCACGCCGATTATGAGGAGTTTGTTAGGGCTTTTGCTGTACCTACTCATCTCTATCGATACCTCGCCAGTCGCCACCGCTTGAGGCCCATATATTTGACTCGAAACCTCCGTTATATGTGGCCAGCTAGAGTTGATTCGGACAAAGTAAAGCGTGAGTCGTGTGTTTATGTGCTTCTCGCTTGCTCTCTCTGCCATGAGTACACCCACAAGAATCGTTTTTCTGAATAGTTTAATCAAGTCAGCACTTGTTCGCGAAGGTTAGGATCCAGCAAAATACTGGTCATTTTTCCCGATAGAGTAACTATTTTGTAGGTCTAAAAGGGTTCGGTTCTTGCTTCTAGGTGATCGAAAAATCGAAAACGTAGTAGCCAAGATCTACGATGGGCGCCCTGTTCGACCGAGACGTTCACAAAGGACTAGCACTTCAGCTTCTCCAACCACTAATTGCAACGGTCCGGAGCTCGCCTTGTCCACACAGTGGCCCGATGAGGTTGAATTAATCGTAGAGGGTTTCTTTGACAGCGAAAAAGAAACCGATTGGGTTACTGTTGAAGTAAGTTGCCTGGCTTCCTGTTCGAGGTTTGCTGCGTGTAGGCTGTGCTGTGTGCTTCGGTGTGCAAATCGCATGTTTACTTGCACAAACTCCCCACCTCCTAGGCCAAACTCACTCTCCAGTCTCGTCTGGGGTGGACGTGGCGTCGAAAATCCCGTCAACGCGACACCCTGGTTCTCCTCGGCCGAGATGTGGACTGTGCGTGCAATCCGGAGAAAGCAGTTCCCTCTAGTGGCTCCAACTCGTACCGTTTTCGACTATCAGAGATGCTCGAAGCTGCGGGGGGCGAAGGTGGTGGCCCCAGAAGCCCGGCGCTCGTCTGTCAACGCGTGAGCAGTGCTCAGTTGGAGTTGCGGGTTAAGGCTAAGGAGAGGAGACGCGCGAAACGCATCAACGGCTGCGCGCCCGGCGAGACTCTAAGTCAAACCGCCTACGTCGTGCACTACTCCACCGCTCCCCTTCCACTCTTCTACGTGTCACCGCCTGCCGCAACTAGTAAGACCGCCGAATCGTTAGCACCATTTATGTAATCAGCCCAAGCCTAGAGCTCAATCAGGTTGATGTCTACTTCGGAATTGGCGAAACTTTGGTAAAACCTTTACTACTGATGACGTTGGTGTACCTTTGAGCGCAGGCTCGACAAAAGGTCTTTAAAACAGAGGAAGATGGGGTTGATGTCCGTATTTCCTACTACGAAACCTAAATTACTTTTCTGCCAGGTTGTTCGTTTATGCTTTATTGGCTGCGTCGATTTGCTGTAGGCTGTGGCGATTCCGCCAGGTTTCCGCAATTCCTGCTCTCCCCGGGTCTTTACGAACTGCGCCTCGGGATTCAGGCTGAACCCGAGGCGATGCCCCCGAACGTCAGCCAGCTGAGCACTCTGGCTGCGGACTCCGCCATGTCGCTGGAGGGCGGCGCCGCGACCAGTGGGGGGGATCGCGTGTCCTTCCAGGGCCCCGGAGAGGGTGCATTCCGTTTCCCCAAGGTTTCCGCGGCCGTCGACGAGTACTCGAGGTGGCCGCGTCTTCGATTCCACGTTGTCTGGCATAGCTCCGCCGCGTCTGGCAAGACTGCTCGCCAGCGTAAGCCAACCCACTTGCAATAAAAGTGTTCGATTTGGTTGGAAGATAACTTTAGCCAGCTCGAAAATTCAATACTTACCCAACGAGAAGTTTCTGACGAGCTTAACCCTCATTTTCACTAAATCTATTGTTTATATCACTGAATTTCGAACCATGTGGTATTTCCTTTCGCTCACACACCTAAGAAATTATATGAATCCCGACTTGTTCAAAAAGCTGTGCTTTGGGCGATCTAACTGAGACTGTGAATCCAGTTACCAAAAGTGACTAATTACCACTGTCTGTTCGGTGGCCTTCAGATGGTGCCATTTACACCATGACAACGCCAGATCACATGCTGGCATAGTGACTAGACACGCAAGTTTGCAATCTGGCCGCGGCGTTTTTGCATTCCTGCCCTTTCAAACTGCCGCTTTTTTCTCCTTTAAAACCCGCCATCTTTAGGACACAATTCCTCCCAAAAACATCCCTCATCTGTCCCACTGAGATTAAGTTCTCCGAAGAGCGTGAAAAGACATTCCGCGGACTCGCTGCCAACACCACCGTCGATGAGCCCAATCAGTCTCCTGACTCCTACCAGCACCACCCCCACCGCCGCCACGACACCACAGAAACTGCAAAAGCACCAATCACCCGACGATCCAGTTGCCTCCACCCCCGTCTACGTCACCTATCGATTCCTCTACGGGGAGGACGATAAGCGACTGCAACAGTGGAGCGAGACCCAGGACATGATTTGCCCGTGGTGCAAACTCAACTGTCGCCGTGGCCAAGCTAATCGTGAGTTCACTCCAAAGCGCCAAGGCTTGTGGTAGTTATACTGTGCTGTCCCAACGACGTGTTACTTGTTTTAGCTCCCAGTTCCCTGCTGGCGCACCTGCGATCGTGTCACCCACGCTTCCGATTCAGGGCGAACTGGAATCCGCGACGCCAGCATCTCTCGCTGGAGGTCTCTCTCAACGACAGCTACGACGGCTCCAACGACTGCGTTATGCGGTCGCATCGTCTCGGCACTGCCTCCACTGTTGCCGCGACGTCTGTGGATCCGTGTCTGTTGGAGACTGCCGCCTCGCGCAACCCCAACCAACTGCCTCTAGTCGGTGGATGGACGGGCTATGGCGGTGGACCTGAGGACGTTTTTCGTAACTCGCGAAGAGCTGCTGCGGAGGCCTTACTGCGTGAGCATCGACCCAGCAAACGCCTTCCCTACACCCACCTCATCTACTGGCGTGGGGCAGAGCATCTAGTTAGACATGTACGTTGCGTCGCGTCTGTTGGGGTCATTTTCAACATTTCAATCACACCCACCTCGTTACTCACGGTCGCCTGCATGTTGAAGGAGGCTTTGAGATGACTGCCGCGTCTTATTCTATTCTCTCGTTAAGAAATGCTCGTACAGTCATCGCACATGCGGTAGCTTTTTTGCATGAAGAGAATTATTCTTGGATGGCAGGTATTCATCGCACGAGTGCGTAAAGCACAACACGGCGTAGCATCAGGCACACATCACGCTACGTACTGCCTCAAAAACGCACGGCTGTCTTTCATAACTGTTGTTGAGAAGCAGAGCCGGTCGGTCGTTGTAAATCATTGGCCGAGGTGGATGCGCGCGCTCACTCGCTTGCCAAGTGTGCGTGTGTGTGCGTTAAGCGTCACCGTCGATTCTCGCTTCAACACACGTGGGATCCGTTTACAGCTGGGTTGGTGGCCATAGAACCACGCCAATGTGCCTATTTCATCTCTTGTTTTTTTACTGTTTCTTAGCCCCTTGAGTCATCCCTGACAACACGCCCCCTGGCAGTTGGTCATAACCGTGTTTACTTCCACACCACCACTATGCAGCCCATCTCACCGGCCGTCTTCGATGAACACGACTCCGAGTCGGAAGACGCGCCGGAATGGCTCTGTCAGCATTACCAGCGCAAGGTGGAGGAGTTCACTGACGTCAACAAGGTGCGTTGCATCCCCGTCTCCGTCCAACTTGGAAATTCCACACTTGGCAAATTGACGCCCAGGCGATTGTTGTTGTTGTTGATTTAGGGTGAGAAGGAGATGATGCAGATTTGGAATGCCTTCTTGCTCTCAGTGAAGCCGGCCGAGACGGTTGTGTGCGACAACCAGATGGCCAACCTGGTCCTGGCCTTCATCGAGACCTACGCCGGTCTCATTCACCGTCGAGGGCTGCGCAGCAACCTCATTCTCCACCTCACCAACCTCTACGACTACGGCCTGGCGTCGCCGAGTCTGGTGCGCAGGGCGCTGGTTGCGTTCAACCGGAGTGCGGACAAAATGGCCGAAGACGGCGACATGAAACCACCCGCTTGAGCCGCCTCCTCGTCTCTCCTGCTGCTACTTGTACAGTGCTGGCTTTAGATGTATTCTAAACACACTCTCTCTCATGTACTATTTAGCCCTGTCCGGTTTATGCACCGGTTTTGTACTCTAGTAATCTTTTCTTGTGTCACCTAGGGGGATTTTCTCCCGCTTGCTTTTGTGCGTGTGTGTATGTGTGCTCTTTTGTACTATCCGGCTTTCAGTCCGGTTTTGTATTCTAGTAATCTTTCTACGTACCATTTTAACAGGAATTTCATATTTCAAATGATGATTGCGCGCTTTTTTGTAGAAAACCAAGAAACTCGTATTTTAGTGGTCGGTCTAGTATTTCCTTTCTGTCCGGTCCGGTAGTTTTGCCTATGGTAAAAGCTGGTAGTGACTATGCAGATGAAAGTAATTTAATCGCCTCATGGGGGTCAATCTGAGGTCATTATTGGTCTAAAAGTCGGCTGCTCTGAATGGATAAACAAACACTTTGGTGATGGGTGGCTCACACGCAAAACGTAAAAACAAGGACAAAACTTTGGGGTATGTGCGCAAGTCCTCAGAGTTAGTTTTTTTGGAAATCACACCGAATTTGTCTTCTGAGAGATACAGAAGTCCCAAAAAATCGAAGGGTTGATCTTTTAGAAATGTTCGCAGCCATATTGGATAACATGGAGCTTAGCCCATCTGCTGTTTGTGTTTAAATGCATCACCAGGAAGATCGTTAGCCAATCAGCGACAAGGACTATTACCCAATTATAACAAAAATTGCTGTCAGTGATTCACACGGATGTTATGGGCTATTGCGTATTGATAAGCCTTTCTCGTCGTTATGCAACGGATCTTCACAAAAAATGTTTTTATTTGGTAGTGAATAGAACTCGGTGTATATACACAAAAAGACAATTCGTGTGCTCTAAATTCTATATTTTCAAGGAATGAGAATGCCAAGTTTGAATCCTTTTCGGAGTAAGCAGTCAAAACTCCTCACGAATTAGCATGTTCTGCAGTTTACTTGCAGTTATAGGGTCCGTGTGTATGCTCTGAAATTGAGGAATTTTATGATTGCGTTGATAAGATGAATCACCCTCTTTTTTGCCTATTGTTTTTACATGAAGAGACCGTAGACATTTATAGGGTGCCCGTATGGGACACCAACAAACATCAATTAAAGGTACCTTGCAATGCCCTTTGATTGAAATCACTATACTTTTTAAGATAGTGAATGCACATGCAATCCCATGATTTCAAGTTTGCAGTAGGTTAAATCAGCCTTGGCACTACTAATTTGACTGCGTTCTAAAGAGCCTAGGTAAATGATTTCAATTTTTTTAGCAGTCTAAATGATAATACACTATTAAATGTGATTCAGTCAAATTGGCGTGGAGTCAAGCAAATAACTTACTCGAGAGTACAGGGATTTGGCTAGTTGCTCGTCTTTCTCTACTCCTACCCCTCGATCAAGACAAGTAGCATAGACAAAACATGCGACGGCAAGGCCGCGTTTGGCAAAAGTACTAGCATCCGGACCGGAGTTAGGCTCATTTTTCAGGTCCTGATTAAACGCCAAAGAATAGGCGGTGCGAGAGGCATTCGTGTACAACTGCCTGATGAAATAGAGCAACGAGAGGAGACCCTTGGCAAAGATGCTGCCGCATTTCGACGCCTCACGGAGACAGGATAGGGCTGAACACCAGTCCTTTCTCACGCCCATACCAAACATGTAGAGCACTCCGATGACAGCTAATGAGGAAGAGTGACAAGGTTTGCGCATTGACTTACCTTGAGATTCAATACTGCCATTGTGGCAGGCTTCTGAGTGCCAATGAAAGGCCTCGGCGAGGTCAAAGTGATCAGGAGAGGCATAGAAGTAGCCGAGGGTTGTTTGAGCCAAAACGGAGACACGTGTTTGGCCAAATCTTGCTGATTTCAGCAGGTACCTTAAGTAAGGCATTAAATCTAGAACCAATTTTATTTGGAGACTGCTATATACAAAATATTTATTTAATACATGCACTATGGAAGTGTGTAGTGTGTTCTTATGATGAAAAAAATTGTTGATGGTTGCAAAAGAATTTAATGTAATAATACTAATGTCTTTAGCACATTAAGATTATGCTACTAACTTTGACCCTCGTGAATTGAAAAGGACGCAGACAACTTAAGCATTTTAAAATAAAATGACCTTATTAGCGGTGCTCATTGCAAAGAACCATTTATGCAAGAAAACTTTTGTGGTATAAAACCCACAGTGGAAAATACAACATGGAATTCAATTAAATTAAAAAACTTAAGATACTTTTAATAAACATAAATGAATAATCATAGATAGGCCCTCGTACTTAAGAGCCTTTTCGTCAGACTGTTTAACACCCCAGCCTTGGAGATAGGCCAGATACAAGTTAAATGCCGCAGCGTCAACTATTTCAGCATTCCCTTTAGGTGAACCAACTCCTCTGTCTAGGGAAAGAAGCCCTTCCATCATATAGAATGCGGTCACCTATAATAATTGTGATTAATAGCTTAGCTACTTGAGGATTTTCATATTGCATTCGGTCTTCGAATTCAAGGAGATCATCAAACAGCATGACAGCAACCTGATACTTGGCTCGAGGATCATCGTATTTTAGAATAGCATTTTTAAAATGTTTAAGAGCTTGAGAATACCTTTCCTAATTGGTAAAACATATGATAGAGAGGCAAACCTTTTCGAACATAATCTGCCCCAGTTGAAACGAATCGTCTGGTCTATCTTCTTCTATTTCATCCTCTCTTTTTTGAAGAACATACTCCAGGTTTTCATTAACAATGCTTTTTGTTAATTTTCCCTCCTCACCAATTACTTTATATTGTTTACAGGATTCAATAAAGCTTTCATAAAGATTTATGGGTGGATAAACGACATTGTCTGAATTCGTGCGAATAAGAAAAATTGGAGCCATTTCTTTTTCTTTACGAGTTAGTGGAATATTTTGATCAGGAATACAGCTGTGCGGACAACTCATTTTTAATTTACTTATGGGTGTCAACTCCGATAATTACTATGCGTTATCGCGGAGACGCAAACAATGCTTTCAAAAAAGCGGCAACCTTGTGTACACTTCAGCCATCAAACCAATTAACACCGAAAATTGCGTGGCTGTAATAATTAGGCCCCTATCCTGAAGTAAATAAATTTTTCATAGCATTTCCTACGAGAAACACAATACAGTTAGGTACGTATTTATGAGTCGAAACAATATTCGATATGTTGTTCATTTAAAAGCCTTGGGTTTATTTTCATCTTACAACGAACCTGGTTTATTTGCATTGTTTCTGTAATTATGTTTAAAAACGCTCTATAGTTTTTTTTGATTTTTTACGCCTTTGCTGTTTAAAAAGGAAAAAATGCGTTTTGAGAGGTGGGTGGTACAGTAAGAATGATTGTAATCAATTTTAAATATCCAATGGCTAATTTCTAGAAAACATTTCAAAATCACCTTTTTACAAATCAATTTGAAATGTAGACATACTACGCACACTTGTGCTCCAAAGGATAAGGGTAACAATTTCGTCAAAATTTACATATCTGTGTTTAACTTAACCTTGAAATATTCTAGGGAAATATAAACGGGCCTTTTTTAAGCAAGGATTTAGAGGTCGTTGCCTATTAAATTAGATGTATTACGCTTATTTAGCCTTTAAAATCGAAGAAGCTAGAAGTGCTACTTCCATAGCAGTTCAAAAACCACGTAATTTAAAACATTGCTAAATTGAAAAAAAATTGACGAAATAACTTTAAAGTTCATTTTGCAAAGGAAACAGGTTAGGATACCACAACGCTATAAAATAGGTTTAAAATATTTTTACACAATGAAATTGCTGTTACCAATTTTTTTCTAGAATGAAGGGACATAGCGATTGAGCTGGAGGCATTTAGGTTTGGCCACAGTAAAGAAAATGGAGGTAGTGCATAAAAATTCGTTATTGACGAGAACACATATCCTTTTGGGTACTTTTTTTACATTATCAGTCTAAAAACTTTTCCCTCATAGTGACTCGGTGAAATTAATATTTAAATATTACGGTTGCGTGTCTGCACCCACTTAATTGGGTCAAGAGACAGATCAAAATATATCAAAGCAAACAGCCAAAAATGATGTAATTTAAATGTTCCTTTGTTAAAATATTAGTTTACATTCCGCAATCATTGAATTAATTGAATTTTAATTTCTAACTTTGTAAGAATAAAAAAGTTTACAATGACGTAAAATGCTTAGGAAAAAAACTTGTAGTAATTTCAGCATCTACAATATTTAAAAGAAACGCAACAGATATCAATATGGTTTCCGAATATTCTTGGCTTTGCACTGATTTTTTCGCAGAATTTGATTGCATAATAATCTAGTTTGGTGGGCAATGTATATATTTTCTTTTAAGTTGGAAATGATTTATTTTATCTGTTCATTAGTGCTTCACCAAAAGATAGCGATGATAATAAAAAAGGCAATTGCCTTACGTTTTCTCACATTTATTTCTAAAATCGTGTTTACAAATTTTTTGACGTACATGTAACAAGAAATCACTTATTAAGGTACCTTACATTTGTTTGTATAACTCAAATACGTTTTCACCGTAACGTATGCGCGTATTGAGTTACGCATTTTAATCGTTGTCGCTTCTCGTTCAAGGATTTACACTGAGTTTTACGCAGGAAATACCGACCAAGACGTTCTTCAAAAAGTTAAGGAAACAGAACATGGTGAACAAGACTGTTCAGGAACCAACCAATGAGCCGCGAAAACGGAAAAACTTAGTAAATTCTAAAATTACTACAAATAGCAATGAAACGCCCAAATCTAATCGTGTTCAGACATCAATTGACAAGGACGAAATGGCTAAATATCCGGTGGTATGTATTGTCTTCTTTATTAAAAAAGTATTATTAATGTTGAATTTTTTCTCGTCTTTTGTAATGGGTTGTCTTTTAATTAGCACATATTCAATTTCATTCAGTGGCTTGTGATAATTTGGACTTTATAAGCTCCAAGTTGAATCGCACTTAGAGTATAATTCGCCTTTATTTGCACATTTTGTATCGGTTTGCTTTCTTTAATCTCTTTTAGCTCGTAACACCAATATTTTGTGCTATTCAATTCTAACCGAAATTTAAGAACAAAAACAAAGATTGGATTTAAACTTGTATTATCGTTTCTTTGTGTAAATCTTTGTTTTCTCTTATTACAACTTTGAACGTGGTTAAAAAATCCGCATTTGGTAACTTAGTTACATTCTACCAAAAATTGTCACGAATTAGATTACTAACTGGCATGGGCAGTGAATTCATAATACTTAAATTGTGTGTTCTTAGGACTGAGAGATAGTTAATTGGTAAATATCGGCGTGAAGTTATCTTATTAACCCAAAACCTTTCCTTGGATTGTTTGCCGTGATGCGGTGCTTTTTTAAATGTGCTTGATTTTATGGAGTTGCGGTGTGCGCTGTTTTGAATTCTAAATCGTCACAACTTGCAACTAGCCTAATACCTGTTCATCAAATTTCAAAATAATCAGGCAAGCACGTAAAGTCAGTAGTCTGGTTGCCAATTGGCATAATCGGCTAACATACTCGAGCATCGTTTAAGCCATATTTGAACTACTAAACCTTGTTAAACCATTATTTCTTAAAGATTAGACTTTCTGGCACAAATTACATACATTGGTGTTTCTCCATTTTACACAGTTTTGTGCGTCAATATTCGATTTCTTTTTAAAAATTCAATTATTTAAAAATCAATCAATGCATTTTTTAGTAAAAACCTTCATATATGGAAACTAGTTTCTTGTTTTATTAAATAACCGATTTCGACAAGTTACACATAATCATTGTCAAAACATATTGATGTCAATTATTTCGTGGGTGGAGTACAACGTCAAATTATATCCACGAAGTGGCTCGATGGGTAACGTTAAAATGAAACTTCTGTTTAATTTTCTCCACATTATTATTATTATCATTTTAAAACAGTCAGCGAAATATACGTGGCAGATTTAATTTGACTTTCTAATCCTAAACCTATCCTTTTTTGTGCAAAAGCGCATATTTAAATGGCAATGTTTCCACAGACGTGGACCTTAATTAGCATTAGCGCCATTTTGCATAAAGTATTTACTTTGCATTTTAATGTCACATGTTGCGCGCTAATCCCATACACTGCCACACATTTCTGCACATTCGAGAGTGAATTGGTAAAGCCGCAGGATAACTCATTATTACTCCTCCACGTTGTCTGAAGTAATGTCATCGCCATCTTAACGCATGAAAGGATGGGTGAGCTATATCGCTATAGCTTTTTTCTGTAACCTCGCACACAAGTTAGCCAACATGTCTGACTTAATGGGACCACATAACACGTTATTGCAGGCAACTGGATTTACGAGGTGAGACAAGCAATCAGTAGATTTCCCGACTGTCCCGGGAACAATATGGCCGTCAACAGTTTGCACGATTCCATATTTAATGCATGTTTATAATCAAAACAACTGATGATACCTTGGTTTAGCACACTATGGAATCAGGCATTGCCGATCTGATGTGAGCTTGCATTGAGTGTCTTAGGGTAAGCCCACAGCTAATCAATATGCGTATGCAGACGTGTCGCACGATGCTGTCATTAACAAACATGCACACAGACACTTCAGATTTAATTGGAATGGAGCGATTGCTACCTGTAAACTTCTCTTGACGTGAGCTACGTTGTCTGTCCTCGACAATTTTTGAAAAATACTTGTTTTCAAATGATTAAACTAATAGATGATAAGTCACCGAGCACATTCAGGGTTCGATAATAGTTTAAATGTGGTAAATTTTGAAAATGTAGAAGTCACTAGCCTTAAAAACTGAAATAATAGCGAATTAGGAAATGCTTAATGGGCAAATTTACAGGAACGGTGAGACATTTTTCGATGACTGACCGATAGGCGTTGCCGATAGGTGTTCGACCATATGTCCTTGGCAAAGCCAATCAAAGTTTTCCGCACTGTTCGACCTTGATGATGAGCACTCAAATTTAATCTTCAGTTTATCCAATGAGACGTGATCTTTGAGTGCAGCCAAGCACTTGTTTTCCTGCCCTTACAAAGGCGCCATGTTTGAAGAACAGTCAAGAGTAAACACGGCTGCACACGGCGGTGCGTGGTAATTATCACAGCAGGAGCACATGTGCGAAACTCCAATGATGCTGTAATTTTTAATGAGTCCATCACTCGTCAGAACGCTATTTCGTGTCTTGCAACTTGTGCTGGCTCCAATGCCTAGTGAATCGGTTTACTAATCTTAATGCTTAGTGTGTTAAAAATACATTGGGCAATTTTAGTAGGCTGGAATCTTCTATGAAGGTCAAGTAAATCACTTTGCTGAGCTAATAATTTTATCTGGGTGAATTTGTGTCTCACTGAAAAAGCCACTCGTAATTTTTATAGTTCTATACTCGATTCTGGGTAAGAAACTTTATTGGTCTCAAAATTAGTCAAATTTGTGGCTTCCGAATTCATTTTTAGCTTAACTTATGAACAGCCTTCATCAATGCAATCTTTGGTTCGAAATTTCAGCGTCATACGTTGAACCCGAGCGCCATTAGGGTTCGGTCAAACTGACTAATTTATAAAACACATTGCAGTAGCTGCTGAACTGCAAACTGTAGCAGTGTTTGTATTGATCCAATCACCAATAACTTAACAAGGTCGACCTTTCATTGGCTGGCACTTCCGATTTCCGTATTTACGCCTGCAATATGAATTTCGTATATTGTAGTTTGCTTCAGTCCAAATATCACAACATATTGTAGTAAGGCGCTATTCACAAACGACTTTTTTCTTACTAAGAATGGTCAATTTAGCTAAGTTAGTTGCCTTGTACACATTGAAGCTCCCATGAGCATAATGAAGTGTTTGAGGCATATCATAAAGGCAGTTAATCGGGCATAAATGGGTGCTTAAATCCACAAAATGCAGGCTGTATGAGATACTAAATGTGCTATTGTCAATTTTGAAGGTGTATTACCAAGGAGAGAATGCTAAGAAATACCCCGCAAAACGCATTCTAACTTTACGGCCGGACAACAGCAAGTCAGTCAAAGGCGGTGCGTTCTCAGTTGACTTTTTTATTGTGTTTTAATTAACCAAAATTTTGGCCTTGTGTTGTGAGGATTAGATTTAAATTACTGACGAGAAAAGCCGTTGTGCAATTGTTCTGGCTCGAGATATCTGTACCAAAATACATTCATTTGTTCACTCTACTTTCGGCATTTTTCACGTAGGCTACATGAGAATGGATTTTAGCTGGAGTTGTTTGATGCATGTGCTTTTGGCGTAGACGACTTCAAGTGTCGGATGCTTGAGCATCTTGCATTTCGTTTGGGTGGTCTAATGCGCCAGCTAATGCAACATAGCCAAAATTAGAACAATAACAAGCCAAAGTAGTAATTAGGGTGTATTTTTGAAGATATCTGTTCGACTTGTATCAAGCGTAATTTAGAAATATTGCTTAATTAAATTAACCCAACCCCAACCAATGTAGGTACTCTAAATCTTGCCGTTTGTAGTTAAGACAACCAAAAACACGCTCTCCTAGTTTGTCCATTATGTCGAAAGTTTTTAACACATTTATTCTGAAATGAATTAAATGACCTTGGAAGCACACTAATATTATTGATTTTTTGACAATGACTTTCACACCACAATGATTGGTTGGTAACAAACTTAATGCTGGATCTTATTGGTCGATTTCAGGCCGTGCCTGCGATTGGCTGTACACATCCAATTTCCAGACTGAAAAGCCTGACTCTACAATAAAGCGGTTGACTAAGAAAATGGAGTCTACGTTGAGTAGGAACAACTTTCACGCTGCCTAGACTGACTTAGACAAAATATTTGTCCATAAAATAACTTCCACAAGCAACCAGCGGCTAGTGGGCATAAATTGCGAAGATATAGGATAAAGCCCGTGTCTTGGTTGACAACTAAAACTTCTTCGACTGTAGAACGTGATTTTGGTGGGAACGAATGCACATACGCACACACACAAACATACGCCAGAAAGTCAAATAAGGTTGCACCAGTATTGTAGGAGGCTAAAATTACCTTCTAACTATTGTTTCGTAAACGGCGAGGTGAAACCAATTTCGTGATCTCTTTATTTTTGTGTCATCTGAGCATTTAAAGCTTGTGTTTAATAACGGTGTGTAAAAATATGGTCTTTGATGTCATTTTAGACACGTCTTACCACGAAATACCCCATGATCACATTGCCTACCGCTATGAGTGCATCCAGTCACTGGGAAAGGGCAGTTTCGGCAATGTCATTTTGGCAATCGACCACAAGACAGGCACTAAGTGTGCTATCAAGGTCGTTCGTCGTGATATTCGATTCACAACACAGGTCAGTACAACTACCTAAATTTGGAGTTCCTGTGGCTTTCAAGGTCGCCACTTTCGATTTTGATTGGGCAAAACAGAAAACTTTGTTTTTTAACCATAGTTAGAGATTTTTTGCCTAGAATACACAAAAAATGTAAGCATTTTGTCGATACAATTCCCTAGTGACGTGTGGTAAACTAAATTTGCTTTAACCAATCTGTGACAATGTGGCAACAATACACTAATCCTGCGGTTGCCAAGGTCACCTGTGTTCGTCTTGATTGGATAAAAAATAAGGTCTGAATCTTAGTCATGAATGAATAACTAACCCACACACTCAACCTTAGTGCCAAAATTAAAAAAGCAAGTAAGAATTTATCGTTTGTCTGGGAAGCAGGCTTTTCGTAGTTCAACACCAGTCTGTTTGATGCCAAACTGTTCGCTCTTAAGCAGCCTACTTCGTATTGCTCTCCCGTGGCAACAAACTGTGGCCCTGTACCAATTATAGCGAAGAAATTGGAAATTAAAATAATCTATTTGTGGTGGCAGTTTGGCGCGTGCCACAGAGTAGGAAAGGTGAGTCGTGCGCCGATCACACAGAGTGCTCGACTCAACAGAATGGTGAACGCCTTTGCGGTCCTGCCTGCGCTACTATGAGGACACTCAAAACCATGGCTAACACGACTCACAACGCACACACACACACACACGCCTAAGTGATTATGTGAAACAGCAGCGTAGTGTGGAGTAGTTGTTGTTTTAATGAGTTGCGACATTAGAAGGGCGCCTTATGCATAATTACCGTGAATGCCAGGTTAGTAAAAACCTTCAGCACATTATCGATGACACCTCTAATTGTTATTATGCTATATGCCATTTCTGTGAGCACACACACACACACATACGAGATTTATTTGAGGTAAATTAGACGAACAAGCGTTGTAGTCGATCAATTGTAAAGTTCTTGATTTCGATGTTCACTTTATATGGTGTGAGTTTCCCTTGCGCACTTACAGGTACGATAAATTTTACCTGTTTATTTCCGTAAAGGCAAGAAACGTGCTGATTGGTTAGTGGAAATTCACGTTTGAGCATGGGTTTAGACAGCTGCGTTAGGAACGCATTTTGCCAAAGTCATTCTCTTCTGCTTACTGAGTTTGACGAAAATATTTCTTTCAAAACGTGTCTAAAGTCTGCTTGGTCAAGAACGAATGTAGGTGAATTCTGGAGGAACGAATGAGCCATCCACCAGCACTGGCTAGTTGTTTCACTGGAAAACTGCAAAGCCTGGAGTTTGATTCCACCTGCCAGATTTGACGGTGACCCAGAATCGGCGTTGTGTTTATTGTAGTTGGCAAGCCGTCGGCAAAAGGTCGCTGCCCTCGAATGAGCTCGTAATTTGCTTGCGCTTGTAAACACGCACGACTTCTCAAATTCACAACGGACACTTTATGTTAAATTGCAAACACTCATTCATTGGACTGTCGTTTGTTTTAATCGACAGTAAAACTGGCGCCTTGTGAGAATTTTGGGGAAATTGCGAAAACGGAAGATCATGCCATTAGTAACACGCTTTGCTTTCTCACACGCAGTGTACCTTATACTAAACAGTACAATTCGGCAACAAAGTACGTCGATGTAGTCTATTCCACTCATGTACTGATAATTTTCGGCATTTTACTAACTCCTGCTGTAAATACGCCAGAGACTGATTCCCAAGATGGTAACAAACGAGCAACCGTGTGTAACCCAGTGGTGTGTGCAATGCCTCAAATTATTGAGTGTCTCTAAGGCTGGTGCTACTGCCTAAGTTGTCTCACATCTAGGCCGGGAATGTGCCAACGCATTCACTTCGCCAACGAATACTGCAAATGAAATCGATCTTGTGAATAAAGGCTCTTGCGGATACGCATGAATTACAGGAATTGCGTGCATATAAAATCGGTTATGGGGCTAACACGTAATCCAGTAGAAGTGGTGGCGGCGGCGGTGGGGTCTTATTAAAAACTGGGGTTACGAGATAACGCGGTGCAGCGTTTGTGCAGTCGTGTGTGTGTGTGGTTCAGTTGCAAAATATGTCATGTGCTAGAGCCTTTTCTTGCTCTTCGTCACGAAAACCAGACAAATACAGCAGGTAAATTGAAAAGAACTTTGTGCTTGAATGCGATCTGTGTGAGCCTCAAGTTCCAAAGGAGAGAGCCAGAAATGAAATCCCATTGCACCCATGCAGTTTTTCGATGTTGCTACCTACAAATTGGATTTCCGTCAGCTGTAACCAATTGAGAAAGGCGACCTTGGGATTCGGTGGCCAATGAGCCAATCGATAGGCCTTGAATTTGCCACAAACAATTGATTCGGTGACTCCGTATAAATACCAAAATCAAACCTCGATGGCTTCGCACGGGATCGATTAAGAGCCTCGTTTATGGATCGTTTGAATTCACGAATCCGAGAACACTCAATCAGTTTTCATCAGTTTGAAGTAACTGCTCTGCTCAAAAATTGCGTTTGCCTTCCATCTTTCATAACTTTTTCTTTTCGTGAAAGAGAATACGCTTACATTAAGACGCATTACTGAGCATTCTGCAGACGCCATAACTACTCAAATCTATCGTTTTGTAATTATGATCTTGCCAGCCATAGTACTGTGCCGAGTTCACGCTAAAACTAAAACTACGTGTTTCACTGTCCACTTAAACAGGCCAAAATCGAAATCTCGATCCTCGAACTACTTCAGAAAGCCAACCCTTTTCCAGCGGGTGCCAGTGAAAGGTTTCCGATCGTCAGATTGATAGAACACTTTATGTTCCGCGAGCACATGTGCCTGAGTTTTGAGCTGCTTGGCTGCTCGCTCTACGATCTGATAAAAGACAAGAAAGACCAGGGTCTACCAAGGGATCGCGTCCGACGTCTGATGGCCTCGGTGTTGGAGGGGCTCACGTACATCTGGAACGCCGGAATCATACACTGCGACCTCAAGCCCGAGAACGTCCTTCTCGTTAGCCAATCAGCTGACGGCGGACCCGATGAGATACGAGACTTCGTAAAAATTATTGATTTTGGGTCTTCCTGCTTCATCGGCAAGCAATGCTACCCTTACATTCAGTCTCGGTTCTATAGGGCACCCGAGGTTATCATGCGACTTGAATATGGTCAGCCAATTGACGTCTGGAGTTTCGGATGCTTGGTTTTCGAAATGATTCGTGGTAAATTTTTCAATCTTTTAATTTTGCAATTAAGTATTTTTGTCATGAATGTGTACAGTCGTGCATTTTGTTGTTAAACCTGTTTTTTTTACTCATTTTTTAATGTTGTAAGTCAATACTTCAATTTTTTTAAATAATTTTAATCAACGTGCTCCTCCAAGTCCTAGCCATCACGTGATCAGTGCTGCTGGCTTAATTGAAAGTTTGAAATGACCTCGAGTCTTCGTTTTCAGAATCAACCGTTTTAATTGTGTGCGTGCATTAATAGAATTATGTCAAAATGCAGCATGCACAGTGACTTGGTGGCAACGCACAGTCCCTTAATTTTTTTTCAAAAGCTGGTGACTTGTGTGTGTGTGTTGAATTGTGTGACCCCAGTGTGAGTTATTGCCTGCCCTCTTGTCAGCGTCGCCTACTTGACCATCAAGGCGTCCCATGCACAATGCACCAATTCGTCTCAGTACAAATTCTCTCACTGGCTCACGTGCACACCCCTGTCATTGGCTGGTTCGCAGATTGCAAAAGTGCACAGTTTTGCATAAACTCTTCACAGGATTTCTCAACTACCGAGGCTTTAATGGCGGAAAATATAACCCAATTATTTCATCATCGAACCTATGGGTGCATTGTTTTAGTAGGCAAAAAATGAAACTTTGAGTGACAAGGCTGTCTGGCGGGAAATCTCGAATTTGAAATCAATAATCTATAATTTAAGTGATAATGCAAATAGTTAATCTTCATGATTTCACAAGTATCTAGACAGTGTTAGTATTTGAATTTGTTAAATATGGTTTGTAGGTTTAAACAAATGCGTGTGTTGTTGATTGCGCCAACTATAAAAAATCAATTAAAAATCGATCCAATGCATCGAGTGATCGTTTCGTGACACGATGACCTTGTGCATATTCTGGAGGTAAATTGATTTAAACAAAACAAAATTTCTACAAAATTTGACTGTTAAAGAAAAAAATTTTAAACCTAAATAAGCAAAAATGCAGTTCCACGATTCAAAAAAACGTTTTTACAGCGAGACCCATCTAGACAAATTCAATTAAAGTTGATTTTGAGCGCTGACCTCGTGTAAAATCTTGCAAACCACATCTATCTAAATCAATGTGTATTCACAAATACCCAACCTGTCATTACCTGCTGCTGATATCAAGTTTCCCAATTAAGTTAAAATGACCCTTTTCACGTGTCGTTTATGTGCATATTTTAAATTTTTTATGACATGATTACACAGAGGAACTCATGGTGCGCACTTGTGGGAGAATCATGTTTTTCATAATAACCCTTTTTTTTCAATTTGGCCGCTGAGTATTTAGATTCTAATTTAAACACGTGAGCCAATAGAGATTAAGTTCCTATTTCCAAGTCCTAACGAAATTTTTGCATAAGTGTGCATTATGGGTTGAAACATTACAACAACAGAAAGACGTTTTTAAAGGTTTTTTTGTTTAAACTATGTAAGTGTTTGATGGTCCATTAAAACAACAAACACCTGCCCTCTGTGATAATGTTAGATCAATGCGGAGTACGCTAACAATGACCATTGCCTGCTAGAAATTAAAAGGGACTTGTTGAAAACTGTTTGAACCAGTTCTTATTAGCAACAGCACTGAATCACGTCGAATCTTAACCGGCGCACGCATCAACGGTGTTCCTCGATACACTACACGGTTATTTTTGACGGTCAATTGAGCTTCCATATAGTCAGGCTATATTTTAGAACCAGTTTGCATGAATGAAAATTGAACAAAACTAGGTTTTGTGCCTTAAACAAAAGGAGATATTTTGTCCTTTTTGCAGGATTCAGGAGCTAGTGCTAAAAAATATGTGGCTAAAACTCCGATTGCTATCCCTAATTTATTGTTGATCAGCCAGCTGCTAGGATTGCAATCACGCAAATAAATACGCACTTCGCTTTGGGTGACTTGTAAGCCATTTTCATAATAACTTGGCAACAGCAGACTGTAATCGTCTAATGCTGCTCTTTAAACCACATTTGTACTAGGCGGGTGTGCATATTATCTCCGCCAATGTGTTGTATTTTAATGGTGACTTCATGATGAGGAATTTAACAACAAGTTATTCCGACAAATTGTGGACCTTCATTCAGTTTTAATTGATTTGCAGGTTACCCGCTCTTCCCTGGTGAAGACGAGTTCGATCAGTTGGCCTGCATGATGGAGAAGCTGGGACTGCCACCGCGTCAGATGATAATGCCGTCTCGTGTGTTCTCTAGGTACTTCTACGAATCGGACGGCAGTCGACGGTACTACACCACGGTGGACAAACAGACAGTCATCACTATAATTCCGCATTACTGCACCACATACCAGAATATGGATGGAAGCATTGAACTGCGTCAGAACCTGTCAAAGAAGACACGGCGTCTGCGTAAGCCCCCGGGTGCCGTTCCAGTGGCTCAAGCGCTCGTCAGCACCCTGTCGCATAGCAGCGGAAAGCACAATGATTACACGCCAACACGCTCCGAAGAAGTCGATAACGTCCACGTGGTGAAACTGATTGAGGCGTGTCTGCGGTGGATACCGGGGGAGAGGATTTCGCCAGACCAAGCGAAGGCTTTCTCGTGGTTCAGCTACAAGACCTCTAACGCTGCCAACAAAAGTCTATCCTCCCTGCTGACCAAGTCGTCCAACAACCTGAATTTGTTGACGGAATCGGAGAAGCGTTCCAGGGTGGCGGGTCCAGCTCCTCACGTCGCGGAGAGCTTAAAACCGCGTAACATTCCCTCACCATTGCCAAATATTGTTCCAGCTGCTCCAATGCCTGTGGTTGCAGCAACTGCGCCCGTGACAGTGGACAATACGCATCCAAATGTCACCACCACAATAATACTCCCGCCTTCGCAGGTTTTATCGAGCAGTAAGAAGAAGATATCCGTAACTTCCATTTCACCGCCAGCTTCTGTAAACATCCGACGACAGGGTTCGTCAGCGTCAATTTCTTCCGGGGAGAATAAGCAAGAGGAACGGGTGATTTATGCGCGCGGTTACAAACCACCCAGTCACAAGACATCGGTCGTCGAGTACGCCAACCACAATCGCGACCATATGGAGAAGAAGATCTCTGACATCTCACTGACTTCGTTGTGTTCTAGCATTGAGGATAGTGCGCCGTGGCAGACAGAGAGTTCGCGCTACGCCAGAAGACTTGGCGTGCAAATCGGCGACAGGTATCAGGACTCGAGCGCGCGTCTGCGGAAACGCAATCAGAGCGTGGAGCCCAAACGACACACACAGCCTGTCGGAACGGAGGTGTTAGTAAAGGAGCACAACGCAGTGCCCAATAAGTCCCTGATTACGTGCAAGACGGCGACAATGAGCCCATCGCCAGACGACCGATTCCAGTCTAACGGACGTCATAATCCCCACGTCCTAGCAAAGACGTCGCAGTTAGATCTCACGTTGGAGGATCCGCGGCATGGCAAACAGTCATCACCGGAGGAATGCAGTAGCATCAGTGCGTCCAAGACGCGTCAGCCGATATCCGCCAAGTCGGAGATGTTGGCTGTTGATGGTAGAATGGGTCTACCGAAGGTTAGGTCTATGGGGGAATTTCGTAATTCCGCATCCAGCAGTGTTTCACGAAACACCTCTGATGAGTCAGAGGAGTCGATAAAGAAGCCCATATCTGAGATGGTGCCGCGTTCAGCGCGTCAAAAAACGCAAGTTTTTAAAGAGGTCATCTACGAACCCAGTTTGTCCAGTTCTGAACCGCGACTGATTCCACAGCAGTCGCGGGAATTTCAGTTCACAAAACAGCCTTTCACGCGAAATCCGGTCCCACGCGAAGTCACCGCGAGAAGAAAGCAGCCACACACGGATCATAGACGGCGACGCCTACCGAGCAAGGCCACATCTGCTAGTCATCTTAATGACCTATCAAATGCATCGAACTCCAGGGAGGTCGTTTCTAGCCCACGTGTACACAACGGTCGGTTAAATTCCACATTGCAATCCATACTGATGGTTAAACCGCAAACCTAGCACACCCTGCCTCCCATTTGAAATGTGCAAAAGAAGTTGTTTTTTTTTCTTCCTAATTTCTTTCACTGATTGACGTCGGCGTATTTATTGTACAATGTCACCCATCGATTTCCAACTACGTACATCTTTCTAAGAGGTTACTCATGTGCAATCTCTGTGGGATAATGCGGTGCTTTCAGATACGTGTGACTCACGGATTGCCTATCGACTTCTCTTTTTAATTGTGTTTTTATACTGGTTTTCCAAAGTAATCTATTCAGCCAGACGACTTTTCTTGACGCTAAGAATATTCAAAGCATTCTTAAAATTAAGGCGCTCTTTGACAAAAATGGGACGCTGCCAAATCAATTAATTAAAAAGAGTGATAGTTTGGTTAGGAACAACTAATTGAAACCACCATAAGAAAGACGATGTCAATTATTTTTGGACTTTGACTGTGACCTTCATTAATGTATTAGCGCGACATTACATGGTCATATGAAACTAATCGTTAGGAGCACCATACAAACATCTAAAATGGCTTTTTATAAATGCCATTTACATAGTAAAATTGTGAGATTAAAGCTTGCATTTAAAAAGTTAGGACTTATTTAATTTGCGTAGTGAATCGAATTCTGGTGGAGATTTTAAAGCAAGACAATCATCTCGGAAATTTTAAAATCCAATAAAAACTAGTGCTTTTTGCACGAAAGAGGCTTGTAGTTACTAAGCTCAGAGACCTTCCATTTGCAGTTCAACCTTCTCAATTTAAAATGTTTTCACAAATCATTTAACGGCCTTGGATTTATTAAGATCTGGTCAATAAATACTAAGAAAACCAATCAATGCTATTTCTTTTTTAAAGTATATAAGGTATGTATCTCTGATTAAAGAAAGTAAAATAATTCTGTTAACACTAGGACAAATGTTTTAAGTCAGGGTTTTACATGTTCTGCTGGTACAAATTTATGTG